GTTATGCCTGCATGTAGGTAAGTGCACCCGGGTCGTGCAATGCCTGTGGAGGTCAGAAGAGGCTGTCGGATCCCCTAGCACTGGAGTTACAGTTGTTAGTTGTCATGTGGGTTCTGGGATTTGAATCTGGGTCTTCTGCAAGAACAGTCAGTGTTCTTAACCACCGATCCATCTCTCCAGCCTATATATGTATGATGCGCTGCCTGCATGTATGTAAGTGCACCATGTGTGTGCAATGCCTAAAGAAGCCAGAAACGAGTGTTGGATCATCTGGAACTGGAGCTACAGATGGTTTTGAACTGTCATGTAGGTGCTGGGAACCAAACCATGGCCCTCTGCAAGAGCAACCAGTGTTCTTAACCGCTGAGCCATCTCACCAGCCCCAGCTGAATGAATTTTTGCATCATCATCCTGGACTTGGTCCAGGAGGGCATGACCAAGTGGGGCTGAGCTGTTTTCTTTCAATGGAGGCACCCTGTGATGTACAGAACTGTGGTCCTGCTGTGAGGGATCCTAGATAGGGGAAATCACTGAAGCCATTGATCATGATTCTCCCAGAGAAGAGATCAGATTGAGAATCAACACAAACTTGTGAGCATCAGGGAGTTCACAAAGTGGGATTTCCATGCAGCATGAGAGGGCAGTTTCTGCTGAGGCAGATCAATGCAGTTTCTGTGGCCTTGTCTGGAATGCCCTTCCCTGTCTGTTTCCGTGATGGGCAGGGTGCCTCGGCTCCCCCATTTTGGCATATGTACCTCTTAACTATATCTCTGGGCCTTCACATTTCCATCACAGCTCTGACCCTTTTGGAAACTGCCTTGTATTTATCAGTCCACTTATTCCCTGTCTCTCTTATAAGAAGTCAGGTACTATGCCTGTTGTGCTTACTCGAGCACTCCCAGCACAGACCAGAGGTTTGAAAGTGCTGGGGCATGAATTCTGAACAGGATACACAAGAAGCACTCGATCTGGGATATTTTCCAGATCTTCAGAACCAGTGTGTCATATGTGGAGGAGCTTTCTAGTTTCTCAACCTTGAGAATAATGGCACACAGCAATTACTTTGACCCAACACTGACTATGATCCCAACTGGCTTCCCTCCCAGTCCCTATTGTTTCTTTATGGTTTTCAGTAAATGACTTTTTGTACGAGAGGCCCACCCCTGCCTAGTGGAGCTGAACAGAGAAAATTAAGTTTTACAGCAGGTTCATGACACAGAGAATTATTTCGGTCCGTTATAAGTTGAACATATGAATGGAGTTTTAAAATGTGGTATATATTTGTGCTAGTGGGAGAGGTACATAGTGATGGTCAAACTAGGAGTCTTTTGTTAGCTGGTGGTCAAACAGGGGGACAATGTCCAAAAAAATTTTTTGGTCTTTTTGAGACACGATCTCCCTGTAGCCCCAGCTGGCCTGGAACTCACTGTGTAGACCAGGCTGGCCTTGAACTCACAGAGATCCACCTGCCTCTGCCTCCCAAGTGCTGGGATTATAGGCCTATGCCACCACCCCTGGCCCCAAAAGAACTCTTGATCCCAAAGGAAGGCAGAATGGAGTTTATGAAGCTTAACACCACAATTACATCATGCTAGGGGCAGAGTCAATAACCATAGTTATGTCAGATCACCATAGTTACATCAGACCAGGGGCAGGTCAGTTAACAGAAAGTTTCAGTTAGGAAAAAAACAAGATTCTCAGAATGCAGAAACAATGGGCTCCATGGAGATGCAGGTGTAGCTGAGGGAGAGAACATACTAGCTGGACATGCTCCTGGCTACTAGCAACTTTTCCAATACTGTAGAAACAATGCACTCCCTGACCCCACCTGTATGTGACATTCTTCCTGGCTGGCTGCAGTAGAAATGACTTGGGGAAACAACAGGTAAAGCAAAAGTCAGCAAGAGCAGGTCGGGGTGAGTTTTTCCATTTTATATACACGAGTTTTATTCAGCCATAAAAAGAACAAAACTATGTTATTTGCAGGAAAGAAAGGATAGGACTGGGGGTCATGATAAGCAAACCAGAAAGAAAAATATCATGTTTTCTCTGATATGTGGTGTAGATGGTGTAACTTTATATATAATAGAGTATATGCTATATATTTATACATAGATCTACAAATGACGTGTAAATAGAAGCAAGCACTGTTTTGGAAGAGGAAGGGCACCAGAAAGAACATGAGATGAAAGGGGACAGTGGGGGATAGGAGAAAAATATATGATACTCATTTGTGAAAATGTCATCATGGGCCAGCAAGATGGTCAACAGGTGGAGGCAATTGCCAGCAAAACTAATGAGCTGAGTTCAATCCCAGGGATTGACACAGAGTAAAGAAAGGATCAGCTCCTTCAAGGTGTCCTCTGACTTCTGCTTATGCACCATGGCATGCAAGTGCACAGATGTGCACACACACACACGCACACACACAAATAATAAATAAATAAATAAGTAAATAAATAAATAAATAAATAATGTAATTTTAAAATGTCAAACAGGCCAGAGAAATGGCTTAGCAGTTAAGAGCATGGGCTGTTTCTGTAGAGGACCCAGGTTCAGTTCCCAGCACCCACATGGCAGCTCACAACTACCTGCTACTCCAGTACCAGGGGATCTGACGCCCTCTTCTGGCTTCCACAGGCACTTGCACTCACATAATGCACATATGTACTTGCTGGCAAAACACTCATACACATAAAATGAAGATAAATAAATCTAACTTAAAAAAATTGTCAGCAAGTGTGGTGGTGTGTGCCTTTAATCGCAGCACTCCCCGGTGTGGTGGTGACCTTTGATCCCACCATTTTGGAGGCAGAGGCAGGTGGACCTCTGGTGAGATTGAGGCCAGCCTGATCAACATAGTGAGTTCCAGGCAAGCTAGGGCTACAGGGAGACCCTGTCTCAAACAACAACAAGCAGATGTCATAATAAAACTCATCCTCCTAAGTAATCTAATAAACAACATATTCTGTGCTTAGACTTGAATGCCAGCTGACATCAGTAATTTCTTCTCTGATCCTCACCTTCTCTGGCATAACAGTGACAAGTAACAGCAACGTTACATGTTCGTGTGTACATGATAACGTTGATTGGGCACAACCTTTGCTGAATGGCACTTTGATTTTCCTCTGAGTTGTGGTGAACACCACCCCACCAGAGGTGACACAAAGTAAAAGGGACTTACAGAAGATAAGGTTGCATTAAGAAGAGAGGCATTGGGGCTGGAGAGCTGGCTCAATGGTTAAGAGCACCTGCTGCTCTTCCAGAAGACCAGGGTTCAGTTCCCAGCACCCACATCAGGTGGCACACAACTGTCTCAAACTCCAGTTTTAGGGGACCTGACACCCTCTTCTGGCCACTGTGGCACTTGCAACTTATAGTCACACATTTACATGTGATTTTTAATTTTCTTTTTAAAGAGAGACAATGCAGATGGGAGACAGAGGCAGGTGGATCTCTGTGAGCTCTAGGCCAACACACCAAGGATACAGAGTCTCTCTCTCTCTCTCTCTCTCAATTGCAAAAAGAAAAGTAGTCTCAAATAATCATCATGTATGTATGACATGTGTGTACATGTTTCTGTGAGTGTGGCCACATGAGCAGGCATGCATGTGGAGGTCAGAGAAAACCTTGGGTGTCAGTCCTTACCTTCCACCTGGTTTAAGGCAGAGTCTCTTGTTTGTCACAGCATACGTCAGACTAGTTGGCCCTGGGGCTTCTGGGAATTCTTGTTTCTGACTTCCTACTGACCACAGGAGTTCTGGAATCACAGACATATACTACAGCACCTGTCAGGATGCGGGTCCTGGTTATCCAAACTCAGGCTCTTGTTTAGGCAAATAGCACTTTAACCACTGACCATCTCTCCGGGTCCAGTTCTTTTTGAGACATGGTCTCACTATGCAGCCCTGGATGGCTTGATATTCAATATGTAGACCAGACCAAGCCAGCCTCAAACTCACAGAGACCCAGTTGCCTCTGCCTCCTAAAGTGCTAGGATTATAGTCACTATGCCTGACAAGGCTCATCATTTTTTAAGTTTATTTATTTAGTTAATTAGTTAGTTAATATTATTTCTTGCTGACTGTGCACAGAACTTTCTTGTTAATCTTTATTTTCTTTATACGAATGAGTGTTTTGCCTACATGTATGTAATTACATTATATGCATGCAATGCTCATGGAGGCCAGAAGAGGGCATCAGATTCCCCTGAAACTGGAGTTACAGATGGTTGTTAGCCACCATGAGGGTGCTGGGAACTGAATCCAAGTCCTCCACAAGAGCAAGCAGTGATCTCAACTGCTGGGCCAAAGCCTATAATTTTTCTTGTTTAGAATAGCAATTTACTATCTATTGGTTCACTAGTTGGAGCTCAGGGCTCCAAGTACAATTCTCCCAAGTCTCAGGTGTTCTGCATGAAGTCATAGGTTTAGAAAAAACAAGCTCTTGTGTTCATAGGTTGTCCCATAAGTCTGTGTGTCTTTCTTCATGACAAAAATTCCAGCAGACGTCAGACTGACAAAGGTGTTGAGATCTCACTATTGCTTTTCTGTTGCCATAATAAAATGCCATGAACGAGGCAACTTATAGAAGAAAGAGTTCATTTGGGCTTAGAATTCCAGAGGGATCAGAGTCCATCGTTGGGGGGAGGGGAGCATGGCAGCAAGCATCAGGCATGGCAGCTGGAGCTGAAATGCAAACAGTCTCAGAGTCAACCACAGACATGAAGCAGAGAGTAAACAGGAAGTAGGGGAAGGCTATGAACTCACAAAGCCAGCCCCCGGTGACATACTTCCATCAGCAAGTCTACACCTCCTAAGGATTCCATGCCCTCCCAAACATCCACCACTGACTGGGGACAAAGTAGCAAATATTGGAATCTGTGGCAGGGTATTTCTCACCAATCCACCACAGCACCCAAGCACTCCAAATATCTTCCCAGGCCTTTTATTACCGTGCATCTCCAGGAACAGAATATCAACCATTTTCTTTCCTCTCCACAGATGGATAGGTCTGTAGAGGTGGCCAACATGACCAAGGTCCATCAGTTCATCTTGCTGGGCTTGTCTACTCGGCTGGGGATAAGGGACGCCCTGTTTGCCATCTTCCTGACTCTCTACCTGCTGACGCTCTTGGAGAACACACTTATCATCTACCTCATTTGCAGTCACGGTGAACTCCACAAGCCCATGTACTTCTTCCTGGGCAACCTCAGCTGCCTGGAGATGTGCTACGTGTCAGTCACCATGCCTAGCTTGCTCATGGGACTGTGGAATGGGCTCCACTATATTTCCTTTATAGCCTGTATGACCCAACTCTTCTTCTTCATTGTCCTTGTAGGTACAGAGTGTATCCTTCTGGCCTCCATGGCTTATGATCGCTATGTAGCCATCTGTCGGCCCCTGCACTATCCATTGTTTATGAGGCCCCAGGTCTGCCTGGGCTTGGCCATGACTTCATGGCTGGGAGGGCTGTTGGTCTCCATGGTCAAGACCACATGCATTGCCACGCTGTCCTACTGTGGCCCCAATGTTCTCAACCATTTCTTCTGTGATGTCTCCCCTCTGCTCAACCTGTCCTGTACCCATGTTGCCCTAACAGAGCTGGTGGACTTCATCTCTGCCATCGTCATCCTCTGGGGTTGTTTCCTCATGACTATGGCCTCCTACGTGGCTATTGGCAGGGCAGTTCTGCGAATGCCTTCTACCACTGCCCGGCACAAGGCCTTCTCCACCTGCACCTCCCACCTGGTAGTGGTGGGCATCTTCTACTCAGTCACTATCTTCATCTACGCCCGTCCCAAACGCATAGAAGCCATGGACCTTAACAAGGTGCTGTCCGTCATCTACACGGTGGTCACCCCCATGTGTAACCCCATCATCTACTGTCTGAGGAACAAGGAAGTACAAACAGCATTCCGAAGTACTATGCACTGGTCCTGAAGGACATAAAATTACCAACATCCAGTCTTTATCAAAATACAATTCATATACCATAAATTTTATCCTTTAAACATACGTGATGCAGTTTCTCTTTTTAACTTTTTGTTTTTTATTTTTGAGAATTTGAGCCATGAGTATTGTCTTTGCATTATTTCTGTCCCTCCCAGTTCCCCTCCAACTCCTCCAATGTCTCTCCATTCCCTTTCAACTTCATGTCCTCTCCTTCAAGTATTACTGCTACATATGCATGCATATATTTATAAATATTCATGCATATATAGTGCACTGAGTTCATTTACTGGTGCTCTTATGTACCTGCGCTTAGGGATGCCCACTTGGGATCAGGCAACTTCTTAGGGAGCTAGTGAAGTGGAGAAAACTGGTTCTCCCTCCGTCAGCATCCATTGATTTCCTGTAGCTCTTCATCTTGAGGTGGGAACCCCATGAAATTTCCCCTATCCACTAGTTTTGCCTTCAAGGACAGGCTCTACCTTAGAATTAACGGATGGAAAAAAATATTCCAAGCAAATGGCACCAAGAAACAAGAAGACGTTGCTAACCTAATATCTGATAAAATAGACTTCAAACTAAAATTAATCAGAAGAGATAAAGGAGGTCACTTCATTCTGATCAAGAAAACAATTGACCAATAAGACAATACAGTCATAAACATATATGCACCAAATTTCATTAAAGTAGGACTACTGAACTTCAAGACACACACAACTCAGTAATAGTAGAGTTTTCTTTTTTGAGACAGGGTTTCCCTACAGCCCCAGCTGGCCTGGAACTTAGTTTACACCAGGCTGGTCTTGATCTCACAGAGATCTGCCTGCCTCTGCCTTCTGAGTTCTGGGATTAAAGGTGTGCACCACCATGGCCAGCTAGTTTTCTTTTTAACGTGATCCCGCAATTATGCTATCATTACCATTGTGAAATCCACATTTTCATTGCCCCCAAGAGAAAACCAGACATACTGTAAGTCATTCCAATACAAACCACTTACAACTACTCTCAGCCCTAAGAAACCAGCATCTTATATTCTGTTTGTACAGACTGATCAGTTCTGGATGCTTTATGATAGATTTATATAGTATATTGCCTATTGTGAGTTACATGTTTTGAAGGTTGTACCTATTGATGCATGTGTCCGTATATCACTTCTGTTTGTGAAAGTACTCTATTTTATGTGTTCATTTACCAGCTGATGGACATGTAGTTTCTGCTTTGGGAAAACTATAATTTAATACTTCTTTGAACATTTGTGAATACTTTCTAGCAGTTTTTGACAATAATGTTATTTCTTATTTGACAATTTCATACATGCATTCAATGTATCTTATCTTGGTCACATTCACCCTCAACTCTGCCTCTCACTCCCCATGTACCACTCAACACACAACCCCAACCATCATGTCTTCTTTTTCTTTAAAACCCACTGAGCCCAGTTAAAGCACATGAGAAGCTTACCAGCAGACAAATTTCCTCCCCCAGCACCCATCCTTGCCAGTAGATACTCAACTAGGAGTGGAAGCTCACGATTCCCTCCTGCACCCATGATAGCATTATTGACTGGCTTGACCTTGTATAGGTCTTGTTTAGGTAACCACAGCTGCTGCCAGTTCATGAGTGCAGTGGCCATGTCAGTTTTGGAAGACAGCATTTCACAGCACTTATCCCCATCCCCCAGGACTTATATTTTCTCTATTATCATCTTCCTGACGAATTTAAATTTTATTTTTACTAATGTATATGTGTGTATGTATATTTTTGTGTGTGTGTGTGTGTGTGTGTGTATGCCATACCTTATGTGTGGGTGCCCAAGGAAACCAGAAGAGGATGTTGGATCCCCTGGAGCTGGCATTATTGGTAGTTGTGAGCTGCTTTATGTGGGTCCTGGAAACTAAACTCAGGTCATCTGGAGGAGCAGAAAGTGCTTTTAACTGCTGAGCTATCTCTCCAATCCCATAAGACAACTCTGAGGGAACTAACTAGAGTCCCATGGACATAGTTAATACAATGTGATTTTCACGTCTCCATTTTTGTATATATTCCCAAGAAATCAAAGCACTACTCTATGAAAACAACATAGAATTCAGGCACTATTCGCCTGTGGAAAAGTTCATTATAGTCTATTCTTTCAGTGAAAACTATTGGAAAACACCTTTATTCAAAATATTAACTTGAACCTGGGTTACATGACATATTCAAAATACAAAGAAAAAATACCAAGTTAAACAGCCAGCACATATCCACACAATAGAATCATACTATATCCTTAAAACAGTATGATACTTGCAAAAGTGTTGATCATGGGACCAGGAGACATAGAGGGCCTTGGCGTGGAAACATGAATCCTATCATCTACAAACAGTGCAGAGCTAATAATAATGCATTGCTCAGATGTGGGGCCTTTAAAATTCTTGATTGTTCAGCCACCTAGAGGTTTATATCGTTTTGTCTTCAATGGCACCATCTGATGGTTTGACAGATATCATTACAGCATGCTCATTTCTCTTGAGTTACTGTCAACATAAACTGTGACTTAATAATTTAAATAACCTTCCAGTGTGATGGGCAAGTTATCCTATGGAAGATCATACCTTTATTTCTGTGTCCTCTTTTTATTAATTTTCTTATTACTTCAATTATAAATCTAATACAAACATTACAAACTATTCAATATATGAAGTAGAAAATGTATTTCTGGTTATCCTATTGTTTAAAGAATAAAACACCATTAGCCAGGTGTGATGTCACATAGCTTTAATCCCAGAACTCAGGAGGCATAGACTGGAGGCACTCAGTGAGACTGAGGCTAACCTGGTCCACAAAGAGAGTTCCAGGACAGCTGGGGCTATGAGGAGATGCTACCTCAAAACAAAAAAACCTACAAAACGCCTCTAGCAATTGTTTGGTATAGAGTCCTTTTGAGATAGATAGATGATGATGATGATGATGATGATGATGATGATAGATAGATAGATAGATAGATAGATGATAGATATAGACAGATGATTGATAGATAGATAGATGATAGACAGATGATAGATAGATGATAGATGATTGATAGTTAGAAGATAGATAGATAGATAGATAGATAGATAGATAGATAGATAGATATAGACAGACAGATGGACAGACAGATATATAGGTTAGATATAGATAATTACTGCAATTGCTATTTGTCTTAGTTTGTTCTTCATTGCTGTGACAAAATACTCTGACCAATACCAACTTGGGGAGGAAAGGGTTTATTTGTCTTACATCTCCCAG